ACCAAAATTGGTATTTGCTCCTACAAATTTGGCTTAGCATGTGGCATCTCCAGTACATAATTAATAAGTTATGAATTGTTTCTGTTGAAGGCTTAGGATAGCAAGAGTACAAAGATACAATGACTTGGCCAGATTTAGAAAGCACATTATTGGTGGGGAAATTCTTGTTAAATATCTTCCATGCATAGTAAGAAATATTATTTTGTAAATAAAGATTTGAACCTGCTACGTAAATAATAATTTATGAACATTTATTATTTGTTGGTCCCAGAGACAAGGAAAAGTCTAGAGAACGAGGGGATGATTAAAACTTTTAAATAATTTTAAATCTTAACAAAAAGTGCACAACGAATTGAAAGTCTTTGACTTGTCAAGGATTTTACTTAAAATATTTTATAGCTTTTTGTTTGAAATGCGCAATTGTTTATGTATTTGGACAAGAAATTCCTTATTTGAGCGCTTATATTTATGGTGAACTTACAATCATTATGGTCTACTGTAAAATATAATCCACAAGTTGTGTGGAGTATATTTTGTCTACTGTAAAATAATGTACATTTAGTACAAAAATAATATACATTCAGTACAAAAGTAATATACATTGTATTCAGAAGATATATATTATTTTTGTTTGGAATAAGGGTCAAATAGGCCACTGAACTGTACACCAAGTTGCAATTAGGTCATCGAACTCAAAAAAAGTACAATTAGGTCCCTGAACTACACAAATTCATGCAATTAAGCCTAAAATGACCTGTTTACCTAATACTTTGCTGACGTGGAGGTTGCAGATTTTAAAAATTATTTTTAAAATAATTTTAAACAAAATATTAATTAAAAATTAAAAAAAATAAAAAAAAAAATAAAAAACGGAACGGCCAGAGACGCCGGTCGTTCCTTCGTCTCCATGGCAGGAGACGAAGGTCTCCAGCCATGGAGACGATCTTCGTCTCCTGCCATGGAGACGAAGACCTTTGTCTCGTCTCCATGGCCTGGAGACGAGGACCTTCGTCTCCATGGGCAGGAGACGAAGGTCTCTTCGTCTCCCTGGCCGGAGAGACGAAGAGATTCGTCTCTCCGGCCAGGGAGACGAAGAGACCTTCGTCTCCTGGCCATGGAGACGAAGGTCTTCGTCTCCATGGCTGGAGACCTTCGTCTCCTGCCATGGAGACGAAGGAACGGCCGGAGACGAAGGAACGGCCGGAGACGATTTCGTCTCCGGCCATTCTTTTTTTTTTTTTTTTTTTTTTAATTTTTTTTTAATTTTAATTAATTTTTTGTTTAAAATTATTTTAAAAATTATTTTTAAAAATCTCAACTTACATAGCAGGTAAACAGGTCATTTTAGACCTAATTGCATAAATTTGTGTAGTTCAGGGACTTAATTGCATCTTTTTTGAGTTTGATGGCCTAATTGTAGTTTGGTGTGCAGTTCAGTGACCTATTTGACCCTTATTCCTTTTTGTTTTGAGTATACATTATATTGTATAATGTACATTCAGTACAAAAATAATGTACATTTAGTGGGGTATATTCAATCATGACTTTCATAGAGTTTTAAAGACTTTTATGAACTTTAAAAATTTGAAGGTATTCAATTCAAACTTTTAGAGAGTCTTTAAAAGTCAGGTGGTATTCAATCACGATTTTTAAAGAGTCTTTAAAAGTCATGTAGTATTCGATTAAGACTTTTAGAGAGCCTTTAAAAGTCCTGTGGTATTCAAAAAGTTATGAATTTTTGTAGACTTTTTAATTTTAGAACTTTTGTAGACTTTTCCTTCTCAAATATAAATAGTTGAAATCCGACCATCAATCTCAAGATTTCAAAATTTTCTTTCTAACAACTTTGAATGTTTTCTCTCTCTATTTAAACTCTATTTTTTTTTCTCCCTTAAACTTTATAAACCTATCTAAATTTAATAAAATATTTTTTTCTTCATTATCCTAATTCCTATATGTTCCTCATACCTAAACTCTACCAATTTTTGTCTCTGATCTCTTAAACTTTACAATCTTCATCTAAAAATTCGAAATAATATTATTTTTACTTCATTATTGCTTGTTTATATTGATTTTTATTTTATTTTTCTATGAATTTTTATCCATAACTTTCTCTAATTCTCCCTAAATACATGACCAAGCAAATTTTTCATCGTCAAATTTTAGTATATGTTTCATAATATTCATATAAATACTTATATATTTGGATTTTTATATATTCTTTTTATGTTTATATTCGTAATATATATTTTTCATTTTTTTTAACAACAGATTACTACGAATAGAGAACTACTATTCGCAACAACAATTTGGAGTTGCAAACAGTAGCACTTTGTTGTTATTCGCAGTCTCAAATTGCTATTGTAAATAATAGTTCTTTGCGTGATGCCTAGCAATATATCAAGTATAATTTTTTTTATATATATTATTAATATTAGATTTTTATTTTTTATGAAACTTGTAATTGTATTTTTAAATATTTTATTTGATCAATTCTTTTATTATAAATTTTATTGTTCAATATTGTTATGAATTTCTAATGAAATAGTTTTTTTTGTTGATGTTTATTAATAATATATATAAGTAATTAGCATATAAGTCTCAGCATATTATGGATAAAAATAATAATGTTGAGAATGCCGATGTAGGTGAAGAACTATATAATAAGAAGAATTTTATGATATATTATAAATGTTTTGTAAGAAAATTATATAAATGATAAGAATCAAAATCATTGAAAGTTTGTAAGGATGTATTCAATATAGAATTTCAATGACTTTTGTAGACTTTTTAAAATAAGAAGTTGATAAAAGTCTATGAATGTTTTTTATATAGACTTTTATAGAGTCTTATAAAGTTTTAAAAAGTTTTGAACGATTCTATGAAAGTCAATCAAAATTTATTAAAATCTATCATTTTAAAAGTCTTTAAAACTTTACAAAAGTCATGATTGAATACACCCCCTTTAATATATTAAAAATGTACTTTTTTATATATATTATAGTCTACACATAACATGGTCCACACAATAATTTGCCGTGAACTTGTTAACAAGATTTAAGTGCTAGCTTCTCCTACAAACAGAGATATTGAAACATATCATTTAATATCTTCAAGGTTTAAAAGATATTGACATATTTTATACAAGAGATCAAGATCAAATTATGACATTAGTGGACTAGCTACTTAGATTCTAGACTAGTTACGTATTTGCTCAACTCATTCTACTAACTTTCTCTAATGTCTTACTTCACTACTTCATCTGAGTAATTCAACTAACTCCTCTGAAATGTTACTTAATTTGTCTTCACTATTAATAAAATGTTTTTAATAAACATCCCTAAAAAACTTTTATTATTATAAACATTTTCATCCATTAGAAACTTTATTAATTTCTCTCTTTTATCTCTATCTCTCATCTTATCTCATCATTTTATTATCCATATATTGTATGCTATTATCAATTCTACTTCGAATAATAAGGATACAACAATTTACTCAAAAACAACATATTCTACATTTTTTAATTTCTAAATCATATATTATTTTTTCTTTTCACTTTGTAAATTCATATGATGCAAGGTACTGTTATTTAGACAGGATAAAAATGATACAATAATTAACTCAAAAACAACAGTCTATATTGTTTAATTTCTTTATAATTATCTTTCTTCTTGCTTCTTGTGTGATTTAATTCTAAAAAGCAATTTAAAATTTGTTGCCACGTAAACCCAGAGCACAACAATTGTGGATGAAAGTCCGCCTTGCATTGTAAACCCTAGTCTTTTAAATTATGCATGTGTCTGGTGCGTTCAAGCACATAATACATTAATTATATATTAACTACTGACACATAATCAATTAACATATTATTAGCATGTTTGGTAGTATGGTGGAATAAGAATGGTTACTAAAAGTAGTGATTGAGAAGGAATAAAGGAATGAAACCCTTATTTTATTTGGGTATGAATTTTTTAATTAATGAGGTATTCGAAACCCATAGTTGTATTCTAAAACCTATCAACTAAACAATAACAATCACTTTCATACGCATTCCTGTGAGCAAAACCCGTCAACCAAACACACCCTATGTGTCTTCAATTTATTTACAGACACATAATCTATTAATCACAGACACATAATAATAATATAGTTATGTTAACTGCTGACATAATTCACAATGCAATGTACACCTTGATCCATAGTATAATTTTTCAAAGTGCAATACTTGGAAAATTAATTTGTGGACCATAGTCCACATAACTGTGTAGACCATGGTCCACATAGCTGTGTGGACCATAAATATCAGATACATTTTTAATATACTAAAAGTATATTATTTGTATACTGAAAGACCGAAGGTACATTATTTAATAATATATATAAAATAATGTATTTTCAATACTCAAATAATGTAATTTTAAAAAATATACTTTACGTACACAAATAATATATTTTTAGTATATTAAAAATATATTTTTTTAATTTATATTCCACACTGTGTGGACCATATATAGTCTATGTAATACTAATTTGCAATACTTGTTGCCTCTAGGTACAACACTAATGTATGCCGAACGTTATGCTGTGGAATCGTGCCCACCTTGTAAGGTGGGCACGGTTTCATATCTATAATTTTTATACTGTAGATCTATAATTTTTAAATCGTAGATCTATAATTTAAATACAGTAAATTAATACTTTTTATACAATAGATTCATAATTTTCATACTGCAAATTCATAATATCTGTACTGTAGATTCATAATTTCTAAACTGTATAGTTATCAAATTATGAACAAATAATTCTGTGATTTGTGAAAACAAAGTTCAAGAATACGAACATAAAAAATTATAAACACATAGCTCTATAATTATGAAATATATTTATAAAATTATAAACATATAGCTCTATAATTATAAATGTACAGTATAGAAATTATGGATATGGAACCGTGCCGACCTTGCAAGGTGGGCACGTTTCCACAGCATAATTTGCCAATGTATGCATGTATGTATGATCTTAACCATGTTTGGTAACATAATTAGCTTATTACTCAATTTTAGCTTATTTGACCACTATTAGTTGTTTGACGGAGTTAAACAACCAATATAAATATTTGATTATTTAGCTTTTTCTAACAGTTTATTGCTTCAAAACGCTAAAATTCAAAGAGTCAGTTAAAATAACTTTTTCAATAAGTTTTTGAAAAAAACATTTTGCATGTAATCAACTATCAGCTAACAATTAATTTACCATAATCCTATTTGGTAAAAAAGTTAACCTATCAGTCAATTTTAACTTATTTGACTACTATCAATTGATTGACTTGGTTAAAAAATCAATATAAATGTTTGATTAATTAACTATTTGTAACTCCAAAATACTAAAATTTAAAAAGTTGCTCAAAGCAGTTTTTTCAATTAACTTTTTTAGAAAAGAAATTATACCAAACAGTTATCAGTTAACAGCTAATTAACCAAACACTTTTCTACAATCAGCTAATGTTATCAACTAGTTATACCCTCTAATTAACCCAAACAGCTAACAGTCATTTACCAAACAGGGCATATCTTTCTACAATCAACTAATGTTATCAATTAGTCACCAAAATTTCTCACCACCAAGAATGGCCTTATTACATAAAAATAAAAACAAAAACAATAAAGTCTCGAGTAAATCTATAGATGTATGAAAATAGATCTCCTAAATGGTTTCAGAAGCCAAACTAATCTGCTCTCCAACTGTTGATAGATTCATTTTTCACCACTTTTTTGAGAATGCTCTCAAGTGTTGTCGTCATTTTCACATTGTTCCAGTAATTCTCTATAAGAAGGATCATAAGCAACAACTATGCGCAAATACTTTGCAGCTTCAGCTTTCCGGCCCACATTGTATAAAGCACTGAAAACCACGATATCACACGACTAGTAGTTACGTTTTGGGATCCAGTTAACAAAATTAGTTGCTTTCTACACATTAGGAACAACCCAGTTTCCACTTATAGATTTAACAAATAAGTAATTACTACTTTTTTTCAGAAACCAGGCCATCAAGGTGATTTGGAGGAAAGTCATGAATCAAAGAAAACATAAGACCAGGTATCAAAATGTTCTTCAGTTGTTAATCTAATTATACCTTGAGAACAATATCAAAGCCTCGTAGTAATGCGCTTTTGTCTTTGGATCCTCAGGCTCCTTCATCACAGCTACTCTCTCTAGGTGCACAATACCCTCGTCATACTTCCCCTACCCAAAGAAAGAATAAATCAGAGAAACAAACCCAGCTGGTAATTCAAGGGGTTCTTTTGTGTATTTCATTGTGATGATAGGTGTTAGAATCTTTAGATTCTCAATTGAGCTATAATGCACATGGGTCAAACCACACTAAAATATTTAATCCAATCAATTAGCTAGTTTGATTCTGGACGCCAACAATACCACGGGTAGACAACCCGGTGAACACAAAGTGGACCAAACCATGATACCATGTTAGAATCTTAGATTGGGCCAAGATCACTAAACTGAGCAATAATGCACATGAGCCAAACCACACTAAAAGACCGAATCTAGTCAATTAGCTAGTCTAACTCATGGCCTTACAAACTCCTCTCTCTTATTTTTTCAATGTGGGACTCTAAACAATAGGAAACCCATCTAGTATTATAAAAATCTAAACTCTAAAACAATATAAATGAAGCATGAAAACCTTCCAGCATATATTCTTGACCAGAACATGGTATTCACCCTGTCTCTAATTGTGTGACCGTAACAAAATTAGCAGATATTTCAATAGCCAGTTCGTACATTTAACTCAATGATAGAATGACTCTAGAAGCATATTAGCAGATATTTCAATAGCCAGTTCGTACTTTTAACTCAATGATAGAATGACTCCAGATTCTAGAAGCATCATTACCTGCCGTATACAAGCTACACCAGCCCATGCTGATGATAGAATCAAATTATCAACATCCTCAACTTCTGTTGGATGCCCATTTAGGAGTAGCTGATATACAATTCAAAGAAAACTCACAATTAAGTGCAATTAGCAGCAATAACTGAACAGTAATATTGCCCAACTATTAAAGACAAGCCTAAATGGAAGACATCCAATTCCAAACCTTGGAAATACAACACTCGAAGTTTTCGGTAGCTTCTGATAAGAAACCATTTTGCAATTGTGTCTGCCCCAAAAGAATCAGAGCTCTTGCATGATCAGGTTCCTTGTCGAGAGCAAGTCTGCATTTTATGCTCACAAATGCATTACAACCACCAAAATGTGGAATCAAAGAACAAAATAAGAGCGCCACTAATCTTTGAAGTAGAAGTTACCGCAGTAGTCTAAGAGCCATATCTTTCTGGCCTTTAGCTAAGAATTTGATAGAAACCTGTGGAACTTTCCAATCATAATAAAATCATAAAAATATCAATAAAGTTTGACAGAGCATGATAGAGAAATGGCTAGATACATTAACAAGTTCTTTGGCTGACAGATTTTGGGCTGCTATCTTCCGTGACTCTCTTGAAGTATTTATTTCCACTTCCTCAGAGCTGTCTAACTCTTTCTGTTTTGCAACGAATACAGAAGTATCCCTATCAGGTAGCTCCAATTTCTTGCGAATGTATGGATGCTTTAAAGAAATTTGCTGTTCATCACAATGCGAAAATATAAAAAAGGAGTTCAGTTATAACTAAGTAAAAAGATTTATAAAAATAAAAAGGAGTTCAGTTATAACTAGCAGCACTTCTCTCCATATGATCTAGAGATACCTGAAGGAGACTTAATGAACTATTGGAAAGCCAATACACTAAACTCCCCTGCAATGAGAAAGCAAGTGTAAGTATATTTATAATGGGTATATATAAATAAATAAATAAATAAATAAATAAATATATATATATATATATATATATATATATATATATATATATAGAGAAATGGGTTCCCGTGCGGTTGACCTTCTCAAGTGCGGTTGTGCTGTTGCTAAGGTGCGTGATTTTCCTTCTTAAGGTGCGTGGTTTGTATGCTTAAGGTGCATCAGTGTTGAAACTTAAGGTGCGTCAACCTAAAGCTTAAGATGCGCTGTTTTCCTTCTTAAAGTGCGTGAGTTGTTGAGACTTAAGGTGCGTCATTTTAAAACCTTAGGTGCGTGGTTTGTGTTCTTAAGGTGCGTGGTTTGTGTACCTAAGGTGCGTCAGCCTAATGCTTTAGGTGTGTGGTTTGTGTTCTTAAGGTGCTTTGTTTGTGTGCTTAAGATGCGTGATTTGTGTACTTAAGGTGCGTCATTTTAATGCTTAAGGTGCGTCAACCGCAAAACCGCAAGGGAAGCTATACCCTATATCGCGTTTGCACACATTTAATGCGCGTTTGCACACACTTAATCTAATCTAGACCATTAAAAAATATTAGATGGATGCACACGATTTGTTCTCACCTAAGCAGGTGTTCTCATATGATCTTTTATATATATATATATATATATATATATATATATATATATATGTCCTTAATCAGGTGAGAACCATATCCAAGATGAGAACCTGTGGACAAATCCAACCCATTGATCTAGTAGATCTAACGGTCGAAAATAAACAAAACTTTGTAATATTTATACAAATGACCCCGCTCATTTTATAAACTTGTAATATTTATGAAAATGACCCCGTACATGTTTTACTTGATTTCCCATCTATCAGATCAATGGTTTAGATTTGTCCACAAGTTCTCACCTAGGAAGTAGTTCTCATATGATTAGGATTCTATATATATATATATATATATATATATATATATATAGGCAAATATAAGCCTTCATTTAAGCCCACTGGCAAACATTACAGAGGATTCAAATGCGTCTGTGCCATTTGTAAAAGAATTCTTGGAATCTTGAATGTTGTTATTTTACTGTTACTTCAATCCACACACATTAGAAGTTGATTCTACATTCACTACAAGTATCAACTATCCAGGCAGACTAGAAGTTGATACTACAATACATTTATCCATTGAACAAATGTATCCAAAGTAAAGAAAAACAAGCATGTTCACAAGCCCATCTCTGCACACTCAGTTTGTTTACTAAACATATTTCAAAATAACAATTAACAAACATAAATGAGTTTTAGCCCCAGCTATTCAACAAGTACACCACTGACCAGTTTACTCAAACATCTAAAAATTCCAAAGTAACACTATAGTAAGAATGCCCCATCTTACATTGACGGATCAGGTATTTATAATGGAAAGCTATTTCTAATAGGAATATGATACTTGATAGTAGCAGCCTTAGAGAGCCCTAATCGTACACAGCCTGTTATTCCTAAAAGAACAGATCAAGGGAAGCCCAAGTACACACCAAGCAAGTGCTCTCCTTGCAGCTGAGCACCCATACCACACAGCATGATCTTATTGACTTATTCCTTCCTTTTGTTGCTAAGAGCATAGACAGGCACCATAGGTTGAGTGATCTAGTTCAATTGAGGGTACATAGGTGATGGACCCAGAGTATAGGGTACCAGCATGCCTCCCAAGTTTTTGGCAGAATTATTACAATATTATGTAGTTCCCCTTTCCCATAGAAGTGTCTCATAGCAAAAACCATTAACCCCTTAGCTTAGATGTGGTGTCAATGGGAGCCATGTCAATGATCCCAACAAGAAGCCCATTGACCATCAACAGGCCCAATGACCACAGCAGCAATCAACTCATGCTTGCATTGCGAACACTCTAGCATGCCTTGCTAGGTTCACAAAAATTGACAGTGCAGCATACCTTCAACTCACAAGGTAGTCAGCATTAACCATTTCACTTAAGTGTTTGGGATGAGGTTCTAACAAGAAGGTATGAATAGTTTTCTAATGCATGGACTCGAAGCACACAAGAGTTTAGCTAACCATTGAATATCCATCCACAATAATAATACACAAGGAACAGAGCTTGCTCACTTTCAACTACCAGCCACACAGGGCTAGGGGTTGCCTTATAAAAAGGTGTTGCTCATTCCCTATGCTAAGGTGTTGGCGCTAAGTGTTGGGAGAAACTTTGCCACAAGGTAACAAGCATGGCTTGAGTAGTCGAGTGACTAACCAAGTTAGTGCGAGTTGAGTAATACATGCAATGATGAGCTAGTGTTGAGCATGCGCTGCACATAACATGATTGTTTCAAGACATGCGGTGGTACCTAGGAGGTTGAATGGTTGGTTGACCAAGTTTATCTTCGGCCAAGCAATTGTAAGATGTGCATGCCATGCTCAAGCAATTATGGATGATTACGAGGGATAAACTTGACTTCAACCTTGACTGAGGCAATTCCAAAGGTTGACAGTTTTGGATTTTTCGGTGGCATAATTATGCTTAGTCACTTGTTTCCTAGGAGTTGGGTTGTAATTGCTTATGTAAGTATAGGGATTAGGGAACGTGCCAACACTTGCACCCACACAAGCTAGACCAATGCCCCACAACTGCAACAAGGTAACATCATGTTCCCAAGTAGCATATGCCAAAGAATCCTTTTCCATTGCACAAGGTCTACTCCACTCTCCAATTCTTCTTTTGCCTCGCCTCTTGGTATGATAGTCAAAGATTTTTAACACTTTTTTTCTAAAACTATAATTAGACCACTAACAACACCCACTCACTTCTTGCCTAAAAGCATCCAACTTCTTTTGATTGAATTTATAGTGAGTTCACCAGCCTGGTTAGCACAATGCAATGGTTGATGCATTCAGCTTAAAGGTTAAGGAAGAATTCATTGGTGCCATGACCCTAGTACAGACTATATGGTTTATCATATTCAAGATCCATCCATAAATAACCCTCAATATATTTGAAGTTGTGAAAGGAGTAAAGAGACATTGAACCAAGAAATTTAGAAGATTTGGATATTATAAAGTAAAACACAAACGAAAGAAAGGGAATTCAAAGAATATCCCACCAGCAAGAAATAAATTCTTGCCCATACTACTTAGAGCTAATTGTTCCAATTCCACTAGATGTCCTCTCTTCTAAGAGATGGTCCCTATTTATAATCTATTACCATATGTAAAATAAAGAAGGAGCATCAATTATTGATTACATAATCAGTTAATTCCTAAGGCAAGAAATAGTCTTGTAGCACAATAGGAGAAACATGACCTTGTGACAGTTTGAGGAAAAGGCAAGAAATAGTCTTGTAGCCAATAGGTGATGAAGTAACAAATCGGGGGAGACATGATGCATAGTCCAAAGTAGGAGACCTTGGGAATTGGGATACTGAAGTTGAATCCTTATATTTGGAAGAAAGTTTAGCAACACTATGCACCAAGGCCTAGTTCTGAGATATAATGGTCCGTTTGAGGTTGTGAGTAAGGTAGGCAAGTGACATATTGATTGAAGCAACCTAAGTGGTTCAAGTCCATATTTACTTTCCATGTCAAATTTCTCAAAATTTTTAACCAAAATGAGTTGAATACTTGAGGTGCAAAGCAAGCAGCAAGCTCTTCTCGTGGTGCGGAAACAATTCGAGAAGATCGTGCAGAAAATTTTAGACTATCAAATTAAGGGCAAATGGAAGAAAAGTCATAGAATAAAGTACCTAGTGCAATGGAAAGGTGACTCCTTGATTGATTCTACCTAGAGTGAAACATGACCATGTGACAGCTTGAGGAAAAGATTGACAGGGGCCAGCAAAGAAGAGATGCACATTGTCACCTCTAACAAGGAGATCAAACTCTCTAATCTTGTTGAACAAATTTAGTACTGACTGAATTATTAAAGCCTTCAATCATTTTCATTATCAACCATTTGCATTATGTGGTAGCTTCTTAGGTTTGAGAAAAACATATTGCTAGTAAAAAAAAAAAAAAAAAAAAAAAAAAAGTGTAGACAATTAGAGATGAGAGTGTGTTTAGATACCTGGGGCAAATTGAATGAAATGAACAAAATTGGTAGGGTCAAAATTTCCAGATATAGCTTGTAGTACTGTGTCAAAGTAGTCATTTGTCAGCAAGTCATCAAATCATTTTCATAATAAAGAATGATAGTAGATATATCTTGAGTTTTCTATGCATAGTGAACTCTCTAGAATTGAATTTGTGTACAGTTTTCTTGGGTAACATTTTAAATTTACATAAATAACTGAAATGTAGTAGATTGTTATTGATCATTATACTGGAATAAAATCACTAGAGCTAAGGATACCCACCTCCCCTCCCCACCACTCAAAAAAATATCACTAGAGTTGCACAACTTGCATGTGTAGCTAGAGGATGCACTATGCATATAAACAAACAATTTTGTATGCTGACCTTGGCTAATGAATCAAAAGTGTCCCCCGTCCTAGTGAACATTTTCTGAAAGGAAACCTGAAGAAATGTGGACTGAATTAGCAGATAAACCAAAACAAGCAATATTACATACATACATACATACATACATACATACACACACACACACACACACATATATATATATAGGAGACGGACCAAATAAAACCGGTGCTCAAGTGTGAACATGCACTGCTGAACACTACAAAGTGCATTCACTGATACGTAAAAGTGCACTCAAACTACGGCTCTAAAAGTGCACCAAGCGAAAGCACTCAATTATATGCAAAAGTACACTTAAACGGTTGCACTTTTGAATATTGCTCAGTGCACTCAAAGTCTGTAATAATAACCAAATTGCCACCGCATGTTTTCACTTGCTTGAAAGCCATTGATTTTCCCAAATCAATGACTAAGATGAGTTCTCAGTAGGGGTGTAAATGAACCAAGCTACTCGAGCTTGATTCGACAAATATTTCGATTCAGTTACTGTTGAACGAGCTCGGACTCAAGTAGTTCAAGTAGCAAGTTAAGCTAAATTTGAGCTCCTTAATAGCTAATTGAGCTTTTTTATTTTTTTTATATTTTATATAAATATAATATTACAAATTTAACTAATTTATATGTACATTTATGTGTATATGTTATAAAATGGCTATAAAAAAAATGTAATATCAAGTTTGTTGTTATGTTATTATTATTATTATATTATATTAGAAAATAGAAAATAAAAAATAAAAAATAAAAACTTTAGTTAGCATATTCAAGCTAAGCTTAGATAGCTCAAACTCGAGTCCAGTCTTGCTCAACCACAAAAAATTAAAGCTCAGTAGAGCTCAAGCCAAGTTTGAGCTCCGATTTTTCATATTGAGCCCAGTTTCAAGTTTTGACTATTAGGGCTCAGCTCAACTCAATTACACCCCTAGTTCTCACTTTTCTACTTGGCTCTAATTCTCAAATGAGTGTGCCTCTATGTGTTTATACATACATATATATATACATATATATATATATATATATATATATATATATATATATATATATATATATATAGGTTCATATGAGAACCTATATTAACATGTGAACCTGAGAACCACTCTGGGCCCTTTATCTAGATTAGTGGACAGTGCATGTCATCTACAACACAATGCACACACGTAGTGCACTGCAAACACCATTCACACAAGTTGTGCACCGCGTCCTGGGTTGACTTTTTCCATGCACCATGTTTTAAGCCATTGGATGATACAACATCAAGGGTGCGCACAGGTTCTTAGGTTCACACAATAAGGTAGGTTCTCACCTGAACATAAACCTATATATATATATATATATATATATATATATATATATATATATATATATATATATATATATATATATATATACTAGCATTTTATACGCGCGATGCGCGAAAACTTATGCCCAATATTAAAATATTTGTATGTAACAAATTTTAAAAAATTAATTAAAATTATATTTTGCAATTTCTTAAAGTGATGATACTTTTGAATTATCATATATTTGAATAATATAGTGATCAAAACAAAAAAAAAAAATTATATTTTTATATAATAATAATTTACAAATAATACTAAGCTGACACTCACATATATGATATATTGATATGGATACACAAATAATATACATACATATTAATTATATATATATATATATATATATATATATATAATTTAACATTCATATAAATATTTAATTAAAATATAATTTATAATTAAATTAATTGTTATATGATAATTTTAATAAAATGATAATTAAAAATAGGAAAAAGATATGATAAATGTAGGTGTATGGTAAGATTGGTAGATATATTAAAAACTAACGGTGTTATAACGGTGTAAGGGTGATTTTGTCCAATGCAAATGAATGTACAACAATTAAAGCAAAATGTATATATTTATTAGCATATAAAAAAGGGACAAAAATCAAGGATATAACTTGTATTGACACTTATTATGTTTTTAGATATATGTATATGTATATGTATATATATATATATATATATATATATATATGTATATATACATATATGTATATGTATATATATGTATACATACATATATATATATATATATAGAGAGAGAGAGAGAGAGAGAGAGAATTAAGTTCCAGTGGGGGTAAGTGTCTCCCGTGCAGTTGTGCGGGTGACTAATGTGCATGAGTTTTGTACTTAAGGTAGGATCTCACCTGAAAATAAACCTATATATATATATATATATATATATATATATATATATATATATTAGAGATCATATGAGAACCAACCTCCCCATGAGTCAATGAGAACTAATCTGATGCATTAAAAAACATAGATCTATGGATAAGATTTACTAGGGGGAATTAAAAACACACACATGCTTAATATGCACACATGACACATCATAATGCTCTAAATGCACACGCATGTTTTTAATTCTCTCAATTAACCTCGTCCATAGATCTATTTTTTTTAATGCACGAGATTGGTTCTCATGGACTCATGGGGAGGTTGGTCCTCATAGGAACAGCACCATATATATATATATATATATATATATATATATATATATATATATATATATATATATATATATATATATATATATATATATATATTACATCTAGCACACCCATTTTATAATAACTTTCCTATTTCAACTTTGAAAATGTGTCTAACCCCCACTATACTCCTAGGAAAAGGTTATTCAAAAAATAAATCTCATCTCTCTATCCCTAAAAAATTATCATCATTACTATATTGGGATGCAGCAAAAAATAGTCCAGTTTGATAAATAAACATTCCAGTTTATAAATAAACATTGAGTTAATACCCAAAATCGTCCTCGACTATAGTGGTTTTTCTCAATTTCGTCCTAAACGACTTTGGGGACTTAATATCGTCCCAGACTTTTGTGTTTCGCTCAATTTAGTCCTCCATTTGTTATTCCGTAAAATTGGTGTTAAATAAAGGGACAATTCAGTAATGTCAATATTGATCTCTCTTTACTTTCAACTTGTGAAGTGCGAAATTCCTCTTTCTTGTACGAATTACACCCAGAATTACTCTCGGACCTGCAAATCAAATTTTATATTCGCAGTTTTAGGAGTAATTCTTGGAGTAATTAGTAAAAAAAAAAAAAAAGGGATTTCGCAGTTCACATGTCTATGAGTAAAGAGATGCCAATATTAAAATTACTAAATTGTCTATTTATTTAACACCAAATGGACAGAATAACAAATGAAGGACTAAATTGAGCAAAAACACAAAAGTCTGGGACTAAATTGAGCGAAACACAAAAGTCTGGGACGATATTAGGTCATCAAAGTCGTTTAGGACGAAATTGAGAAAAACCACTATAGTCGAGGACGATTTTGGGTATTAACTCAATAAACATTATTTAAAACTTTATTGCCCAAATAACCCTACCTTTATGAGAACTATAGGAAAACAAATTTACAAGCATTTATTATGGGCAAAAATGAAAATATAATATGTAAAGAATACATTAAATACACTCTCCTAAGTTTGTGTAATCAGTCAAAGGGGACAATAGTTTTGGGATGAAGTACTTATCTAGCCATCACATCCTAGAATCAGTTTTAAAATATTGTTTTGGACATTGAGTAGGATAAGCTGCTAAAAAGAAATACCTGAACATTAACAAAATGCAGGCCAGCAATCAATAAGGGAAATATGGGGCCTAAGGTACCATTTGGGACTTCTGTCAAATTCTGAAACCATAGTGTTCCTCCCTGTACGCATAAATATGTAAAAATTTATTAAATTAAACAATAGATTTATTTAAAACAAAAAATCATTACCAAACCAAAAGCTCAAAATGTCAGCTAACATCCTAAACCAAAATAAAGAGCACTCGAGAACATCGAACCAAAAGTAACCAAAAAATCAACTCTCATAATCTCATATCAAAACATTAGTCCATAATCTTGGAGAAGGACCAAGTACCAATCCTACCCAGGTGAACATATACTTGTCACTTTGCCAATTGTTAGGAGGCCACAAAGCAATTTAGCTCCAACTTCAGGGTAGGTCCTTCTATTCCAATAGATCCAAGAACCAAGTTTCTTCAATATCAGTTTGAAATAGAAAGTTTCAGAATTCTGGAAAACCAGAACTAATCAAGGATTCAAATTAGATGATTTTAGGAAGCTAAAATCAAGGAATTAATACCTTGATTAAGTAATTATCTCTGATTAATATTTTTATAGACCATAAATAACACCTCTTATAAAGGAATATGCAGAAAATTATTAGTAGTAATCAGCTTTAGCTGAGGGCAGCCTAGCAGGATATATTCTTGCTAAGCAGTACAATTTGTATCTCCTATATTGTCTTTTCTCCTTTCACACATCTATTTAAACATTCTTTTGTTTGAATCTATTTTTGTCTGCTCTTTACTCCATCAAAGTGATCTGACCACCCATTCAATACGGAGAATGACACAAATGGAGGGCAGAGTTGAAGTGATGGAGAAGAGACAAGAAGAGGTGGATCAGCAACTTACCAACACATAATATCTAAAATTAGCGACAATTTTCCTGAGCATGGAGGGGGCAGCACTCCATTGGCTTAGATGGATGCAATATCAAACTCCTAAACTTACTTTGGGGCAATTAAAAACAAATTTCATACACCAATTCAGCAGTGATTTGTGTGAATCTCCAATCCAGCAATTGAAGACCAGTGTTGTAAAACTCGGCCTAGGCACCCCTAGGCCAAGTCAATTAATGAGCTTAGTCGGCAATTTCCTTGCCTGTCTGCCAAGTAGGCAAATAAATTTATACTCGGCCTTTTATTTTTTATTTTTAATAAATTTACGGTTGTCTTGCTCAAAACACGTAGTTTTGAGCGAAACAACCCTAAATCAGGGAAGTAGCCAAAAAACGAAGATCAAGGTAGTTCCACCGAGTCAAAAATCAAACAAGTCAAGAAAATGTAAAAAACCTTCAAACTCGTAGCCTTCAATGACCACCGCAATTCCTCGGAGTCGGTTGACCGCCGCAAGCTCATAACGACGGAAGACCCAACCTCTTCAGTTGTCCACCATCGCCTAGGAGATCAGAGTCACCAGTTTCCACTAGCTTTAGCCCGTTCACGCTTCTCCTTTGTTGTTCGCTGGTTGCTATCAGAGGTCACCAAACTAAGCTTATTGCTTTTGGCTTTTCACCTTTTCATTTTCGGTAGCAAAGAGCAAAGACGCAAGGGAGATGACAGTGGAGACTAGGAGACCATAGGTTTAGGGATTGGAGTTGAGTCTCACTCAATTAAAGCCAAATATATAAAGGCAAAAATAAAATAATTTCTTTTGTTTGTCCTATGTGCTCTAAGACAGAGCACCCATATGGCACCCAATGAGCACTTAGCGCCTTCTATAATAGCATTGGCAACCTTTATTAAGTGAGATTAGTGGATGATTTTACAAATGAGTTTCAAGCACAAGCAACACAAATTCCTGACCTAGCACCGCATATTCAATTGGGACTACACCTCATTTGCTAAATGAAGAAATTCATGTGCGTCTCCATTGAAATAACGTGTTGGATTTGCGATTAGCCATGAAAGTCGCTTGAGCAATAGAAAGAGAATTGGAGTGTGTACATAACAATGGCTGATGGAGCATTTAGAAAGTGGACCACAACTTAGGAATTGGAGTGTGTACTACAATGGTTGATGGAGCATTTAGAAGATATCATAGGATAGGAATTTGTTGGACCCCTAGGCTTGTAAGCAAAGCACATGTGGCTAGCTTTAATCCCACCAACATCATGATCTCCCACCCCAAACAAGAAGCTACCCACTACAAGTTTCATGATATGAGTACAAGTACCACAACTTTTCAACATCAAACAACCACCCACTAATCTACAGTTAAGCCACCAGTACTCACACTAGGAGTATTTACACTTGCATGCTAAAGGTCTTTGCTTGAGATGTGTACAATTGCATAACCTGATGCACAACTATCCAAACAAGTCTTTAAGGGAGCTAAGTGCGGCAAAAGATGAGGACAACGGGGTTAGGGGAAAGTTGGAGGCACTAGAGGCAACTGAAAACTTCCTCTAGCCTTGTGGATAAGGCTAATATTCTAGGGGCGGCGACGGGCAATGATAGGGAAATAATACAGGAATCCAAATTACATAAGTTTGGGGAGCTAAAATCAAGGTATTAAACACTAAAATTGATTATCCTTGATCAAGTAATTGCCTTTTTTTAACTTTTGTTTTTATTTTTATAGACTATAAATAATACCTTCTCTTAGAAGGGAAGAATGCAAAAAAATTATTAGCCATAATCAGCTTTGGCTGAATACAACTCTGTTGCTAAAAGGGTAGCATGTAAAGTTCCAAGAAAACTTCACCACATAAAATATAACTTCTACAATAAAGATGGAACAATTAAGAATATAGAATGCAACAAGCAAAAAAGCAATTGAATATAAACAACAATCCTATTTAATAGATCTACTTTAGAAATGTATCAAACATAAGTGCCTCACCCAATCAAATCCATCATGATGATCAAGTGACATTCTCCTTATAGTTGTAAGCCACAGGAGGAAGCAAGGCACCTGAAAAATAACAGAAGACCAAAAACATGATGATTGTAAATATACATAATGTAAAAATATAAATATTGAGATAGTAACTTGATCCATTACGAAGGTGACAACCCTTCAATCAAAAAAATTAAGTGGGCACAAAATGCAATTGCAATGCCAAAGGTTTGACATAATTGCAATTTTCAATTAAGTCCTTAACAGCCTCACTGAGAAATACTATACAAGTAGTCAAATAAGTCTAGCAAATTGACTACATTTAATTAGATAAAAACAGTTAGATCCTATTATATGAACCAAAGCAAACAAACATGCTATAGTTTGCTTAAACAACAAATGGGGAAATCTTTTGCCCTTTTCTCCAAAATCCTCAAAATGAAAATAACCTTGATAGATCTTTTGGATAGTATGACAGTATCAAGCTTTTATAGTTTTCTAGCTCCCTTTTTTTAGCTTATTTGGTATATGGATTTTACTCCCCTTGTTAACCTTTAATAAGATTTTTACTTTGCAAACAAGATACACAAATAGTACATGGTTGGTTGGATACAGTAATATATGGACAAGTATTCTATCTATTCAATGTTGTTAAAATTAACTTCACTAATCGCCTAGGAGCCATTAGACAATTGGGAAGACTGGAATCAGCCTTTTATGTGATCAACCAACTAGGTGTCCAATATTTTTTTTTTTTGTTTGTTTCATTTAAATGTGTATTATTGGAATATTATGTGTTTTAAGTATTACGTGATGTTGCCTATTGGAATTTTATATTTTATGAGAGAAATACATGCTACAAATGTAATAAAATAAACTAGGATGCCAAATGTATTATATATATATATATATATATATATATATATATATATATATATATATATATATATATATATATAATAAAAAAATAAAAAAAATAAAAAAAGAGTTCGGCACGTAGGCGCCACCTAGGAGAGTCCTAAACACTAGATGTCTAACGATTTTTACAACAGAAAGGGTTTAGAAGAGAAACCATAAACTAGGGAACCTTGAAAAGTCATTTTCTCTTTTCTATTTTGTATATCACCAAGGTACATTAGAATGTTGAATTCAAGACAAAAGCAAAAATATAAATACTATCCAATGAAAGTAAGTGCCAAAAATCATCTTGTGCCACCTTCAAAATATCTCAACTACAATTCATCATATAATCAACCCTCTTGCCCTCATTGTTATAGTCTTTTCATTGCTTTCTGTTTCACTTCATGGTTTTTAAAGAATTTTAATCTTAAACTTTTGAACATAATTTAAAATCTCTTTTACTAGTTCTCCTTAAATTGTTTTGCCCCCATTTCTCATCTCGTAGTCATCCAAAATTAATATCATTATGATAAAAAATTTCTGAAAAATAATAGATTTACAAGTTACAACTACAGAATTTTTAGTTAACAGTGAATACTTTTTATATTTTCTCTTTCTTATTTCATCTTCATTTTGAATACATATAATGCATGTTACATACCTAGAATTTTTCACAAGAGATTTAGGTAGACAAATACATGGCAATCACAAGCTAATCTATAAACCCATAAATACATTGAAATAGCAGCCATGAAAGCAAAGTTGTTATTCGTTTTCACATCAATTGCTCAGTTTCACAGTTCAAGTAAATGCATACGAAGGACAAGATCATTACTCTGTCACCAAAGAGAAAAACATTAATCTAAAGCAAAGGTAAAAGAAAATATGAAAATATGCTAACAGAATACCTGGACGGCGAATGATGCAATAAACCATAGAAGCGAAGGACAACCAGCTGCACTTTTCTCTCTCCTGAAGTGTTGAAATTGATCTTTGAATGTCCTTCCTGACATAGGTGGTGGAAAAGGACGGGGTACTTGAACAATGTAGAAAAACAAATAAGGTGAATGCCTTGGTTGTTTCAATTTTTTACCAGAATATTGAGATAACCCTTAAGTAAAGTGGGTAAGTCACAAAGCACAAAAGGAACAATTAATATTCGACTTGCAAGTTTTTTTTTACCAAAGTATGCCTTTTCATTTCTTCCTTTTGAAACAAAAGCTAAACAAGAGAAAAATGGGTTTGCCTATCAATCATTCACGCCTTCTGAGTGATTGAGTCCTTTTTCTTCTAAGATAATAAACAATGAACATAAATCATAATTGAGAAACAAAGCCTCACACTTGGGAAGTAGCTCTCCAATCCTCTTCAACTTGTGAAGTTGCAACACTGTAAATGGAAGTAGTGCAAGCCTCATTGCCAATGTTCCAGAAGCAATAACAGCCCACCTAAGATTAAAAAAAAAAAAAAAAAAAAAAAAAAAAAAAAAAAAAACCATGCCACTCATGCAATATCACAGTGCTTAAAAATAAATACAAGACTAGATAGAAAAAGCTAGAAGTCTAGAACACTTCTCAAAAGTCCAAAGCATTTCAATCAAGTTTTGGAATGTAAATAAGAAGTCAAACTTTTTCATTCAATACAAAGGAATTGAAGCAAAAGGGGGTAACTTTTCTTTTCAAAATTACTGGGAAGTTTTTCGGGTAGTAATGAAAGGGACAGATCAGAGTCATAGTTCAAAGAGTTCTTATCAGAGTATAATAATCAAAATTTATTAACTAAAGCAAATTGACAAAAAAAATTTCAAACAGCGAATATTTTGCGGCTCACCATGGGAACCCCGTAAGGTCGTGGTAGCCATCTAGCAACGAAATCAAAACGCGAACTGGAAGAATAGGTTCTTCAACACTCCCACCACCAACTACATCGCCGCCAAGAAATAGGTCAGACGGCGTAGCAGACTGACTATCCGTAAAGTCGTTGTCTTGACATGGAACGCCTTCAATGGAGGCAGACTCACGGGTTGAGAAAGAACGGGAGAAGGAACAAACACAGAAAGGCACTAGAAATTGTTGAGTGCTAGCAAGCGAAGACAACACAGGTCGTGACGGTGACAATGGGTGGATTAAATGGTGGTGGTGCCGCCGCCACTGATCGGAATCGTATGACTGTGCAAAGGAGTATGAAGAATAGTACCAGGCTGACAAGGATGGAGAGCGACGGAGCAGTTTCCGTTGTAAGAAGTTCCGCATTGCCAATTTCGGCAAAACAGTTGAAATCTTCTACTAAGTACTATCCGGGCACGAATTGGATTCCCAGCATTTATCTATATATATCAGTGGTGCGACGAAGCCGATGAGTATAGAGTGATGATGGTGGTGGAGCAACGCCGCAACGGCCAAGGTGGAGCGACGGTCAGGATGGAGTGAAGACGGTGGTGCGACGAAACCGGTGAAGTGAACGGGGATCAGCAACGGTGAGGATGGAGTTGATTTGGGAAATTAGGGACGGGTGGGAAATTAGGAAGGATGAAGACTTGATTTTAGTTTTGTTTTTTTCAATAGTTTTAAAATATGATTTTCATGTTTTTTTACCTATGAGGCGAGCTAAATATTAAGATTATTGACAAGTCATTTGTCACATAAGGTTATCGAAGAGTTAATCAACTAACACGGGTGAAATGTCCTAAAATCATGAGTTTATATTTGCCACGTGTCATGTTGGGCGCAAAGTTTCCCTAAACGTATGGAGTGTGAGTCGCTTTGGTCAACGGTCGGGTCCCACAAAAAAACATAATTTGCAAAAAAAAAAAGAAAAAACTCCAAAATCTATGTGACATCCCGTAATTCCAAATTCGATTAAGGGATTAATTAAGTTGGACGATGGTGATTACATCACTCTCGAGGAAGTTGCAAGGACATCCTCCGAAGAAAGAGCCGAGTTGGCAGCTGAGCTTGAGATTCATGCTGGAAAGTTGAACCTCGCAGTCCAGAGTTTGGGAGGTGATGAAGAAGATGAGGGTGAAGCGGGCCACGAGGAAGAAGTGGAAGCACCGGAAGCTGCCGAGGGCGAGGAAAGTGATTCGGAAAGTGAAGAAAACCAAAGAAGAAGGGAAGCCCGCACCAAAAGGCAACATGATGCCATGACGCATGAGGAACGTGTAGTCACCTTGCTTCGTCAACAAAACCGAATGATCGAAGAAGGCTTCGCTTACATGAAGACGCAGTTTGTTGCCGTGCACCAAAGGCTAGATCAAATTGAGGCCAATTCAAGTCGTAGAGGAGAGGATGACGAAGAATTCGAGGAGGGCACCGATGAGTCGGAGAGCGAGTCGTTCTAGCTCGGAGTTGTGGTAATCCCGTTCGCCTTTCCTTAGTTGTGGTTACCCTCTTAGTTGTTATTACCGTTTGTTAGTTGCTTGTTGCTTGCCTTGTGTGCTGTTCTTGCTTGTTTGTTTAGTTGAAGTAGTTAGCTTTGTTAGTTGGTGCTTTGAGCTAGTTGTTAGTTCTTGGTTGTTGGTTAGAAGTTGGTAGTGGTGTTTGGTTTAGAGTTTGATATGCTCATCATATCCGTTGGTTTCATTCTTTCAATCTTGGTGTTGATATACTTCCTTCCTTGCTTGATGTCTTGTGAATCTTTTGGGTCTTGACCAAAAGAGGATGTCCTTGACCCTCTTGTCACATTGTTGTTTCTTTTAGCCGTTTGTTTTAATTCGTCGTACCCAAGCTTCGGGGACGAAGCTTCTTTGAAGGGGGAGAGGATGTGACACCCCGTAATCCAAATTTGATTAAGGGATTAATTAAGTAATTAATCCTAAACCAATTGGTAATTTAATTCCTTAAATTCCTGAAAATTCAATAGTCGGGGACTAGTAATTGACTAGTCAACCAAAGTCAAGGTTGTACCTTAAGCTTTGTGAGTAGTTCCCTTGTTCCCTTACACCTCTTCATTTTAGTAAGGGTATTCATGACATTTCACTTTGTGTTAGTAATGCAAGCTAACCTAGTAGACACTCCTCATTCCTTCTCCTTACATTTCCCAAACTTGAGCTCTCCCTTCTCTCTAAAAGTTAGATAGCTTTTCTTCCAAGCCAAGTTGGAGCTTTGTCAAATCTTCAAAGGTTGTCTCCAAGATTCTACCTTTCATACATTTGAGCATCTAGGAGGGTAAGATCTATGTTCATCTTGTGTTTTTAGTGTCTTCTAAGGTGTCTTTTCTTAAAGATAGAATCTTTATGATCTTTTGGTGTGTTCTTGAAGTGGGTTTGGAAGGTGAGCCTTAGTAGGAGCTTGGTGAAGTGTTAAGTGAAGATTTTTGTCTACAAGAGGTAACTCATGCTCTACAAAATCTATTTTGCTTACCTATATGATGATTTTTGGATTCTACATGTGTTTTGCTATGAAATGTGAGTGTTTATGCATTGTCTTGTGAAAATGCATATCTAGAGCTTGTTATTAGGGTTCATGTATGCCATTGCTTGGTTATTCCTTTGATTCAAGTCATTTTGTTGTATTTGGTGAGATTTGGCATGTTTTGGACTTGAATTTGAGCTTAGTGTTGAAAATACCCAAAGGGATTATTTTGGTGTACATGTGTTTGCGGGCGGAACGGCGGGCAGTGGCCTACCCGCCGCCCTACCCGCGAGGTACATGAAGCTTGTGGGTGTGTACCCGCGAGCGGAACCACGGGTGGGGGTCTACCCGTGGGTCCACCCGCGGGGAACATGATGGTGTTGTTTGGGGATTTGTTCCCCGTGATTCTTTTGACTCGGTATTTGGTCTTTTGACTTCCCGTCTTTTTTTTTGTGGAATTATTTGAGCGTCTTCTTGATGTTTCGTATGTCTAGAACTATATGGTAGGAATCCATGTAGGTGTTGGTGTCTTGAATCGTGCTAAGTGTTCAACATTGTGATTCGTTGAACCGTGATGAGTCTTGTGTGTTCTTCGGAACTACGTTTGGTTTACCCGTTTGATAAGCATGCTAGTTCGGTGTTTAAATGTTAGCGTGTGTGTTGTTTGTCCTTTCCTATCGTTGATGATGACTTGTGTTAATCATCGTTGTTGTTGGACTGCGATCCATTCCTTGATTGAGTATGGTTTCATATCTTCGTTGTGATCTGTTGATTGATTCCTGTTGTGGTGGTGTGTGTGGCTGTACCTGGATTGCACGATTAATGGTATGGGACATTAGTCACCAAGGTACGACAGTGGTCCTCGTGGTGGCCATGACGTGATTATGGAGTTTGTGACCTGTGTGTCGGTTTCACGTATTTCTTGGGAGGCGTGTGTCGCCGTGCGTGTGATCGGTACCCTCATGTACTATGAATTGGTGGAATTTCGTTGGTGGTTTGTTGAACAATTTTAATATTTATTTGTCCTCGCAAGTGCACGAGTCAAAGTAGTGATAGTGTGCAAAGGCAAAGGTCGAACCCACAAGAAATTAATATAATGCAATTTACTGGCTTGAAAATGATTAACTCAACAATTTAAAACACTAAAAATAAATGGCAAAGATAACCGATTCAATTTAAAGTGTTCAAAGTTACTTAACAATTAAATTGTATTTAACTAAATGATATTGCAAGGCATGAAATAAAGACACAAACAATAAATTAACCAACCGAAACAGCAACGGAATATATGCTATGAACATGAATCAATTACTTAGCAAAACATGAATAAAACATAATTCAAGTGGCAAAAGTAAGTTTAAAACTAGTGCAAACTTTCATAGTAAATTATACTAAACTTTAGGCTCATAGGAATTACCAAACCATGGTATAATAAACATTAAAGGACAAATAAAACAAGAGGCTCAGGCTCTTTGGAATTAAACAATCAAATTGAAATTTAAGGAGAAGTGATGGATTACAGTACACCAAATAAACATAGAGATTCAACAGCCACGCAAATTAAGAAAGGAAACAAAGAAAGGACCCAAAGCTCATTGTCGTGGATGATCTTGCTGCGCCAAAAGAAGCTATCACCTGAAATTAAATCTGGTCGTCCAAAACTCACCGTCGAACGTCAAACCCAACCGTACCGACCGCTAGCGTCACCGTCGAAGGAGGTCGTCGGAGCCAATATGCTCCCTTGGAAGTCCTTCGACTCCGAGATGTGTCTCCCCTCAAAGCTCCAGGCTCTATTTAAACTACTATAGCCCAACTGTCATCCTAAAATTCGCATATGAATAGCATAACAAGGAATGATTGACGTAGAATCATTTATTTTCCTTTAATTCCGTAAAGCCTTTAATTTTGCTAAACTTGCTGCTGAGCCACAATCTTTAATTGATGAAAATAGTAATAAAGAGTAAACTTTATTAAAAAAAACTAATTACGAAAATTAACCATAAAAGCAGGTACATAATTAACCAAATATTGTTTATTTATTATAAAAGTTTATTTAAATTTATAATAAAAATAATGCTCATCAAATTTCCCCACACTTATTTATTTGCTTCTCCTCAAGAAAAGACATTATTAACAAGAAAAAAAAAATAAAACAAGTATTAGATCGAACTTTACCCAAATAGGCTTGCAAATTTATTTATTTCAATGCAAGGTTAGTGTCAACTCAAAGAGTGCATAAAATAATTGACTAGAAATTAAAAACTTTAGCAACTAAAATAAATATAAACTTTGTGCTCGTGTGCTAATACCCCTTATATGAGCTATACAAAAACTCAATAAAATAAATACGAAAATTTCACAAAATATAACCTAAACCAAATTCAAAAACATTCTATCATAGTGCAGGTGCAAAATATGATGGAAATTAAACAAGGATCAAAGGCATTTATTAAAAATTATAATGCAAATGCTCGTCTCTTTCAAAGTTCACTCATTATTTTTCTATTTTGACTTTTTTCAAAGAGAATTTTCCCAAAAACCTCTCCATTTTACGCCAGACTTGTTTGGGTTTTCATTTTGTGTGTACTCATAAATCAGACCACAACACTTATTGATTTATTTATTATACATGTGTATAGGTGGCTGATTCAGCGGAGTAGAATCTCTTATTTATTGCAAACGAAATAAATAAATAAATAAAACACTCTCATTTATTATTTTTTTAAAAATAATTTTTTTTTATTTAATCTTTTTTTTTTTTATCAATTCACTTATGCCATAAAGATGATCCTTGAACCAACACACTACACCACGATTTATAGCACTCAATAATTATTTAAGGATTTGAAAAAGGTAAAATAGAGTGAAAGATGCATATAAACTACTAAGAAATTGTATAGGACACATAAGGGTATTTGTGATTTTCAAATTCTATTTATTTATTTATTTTTTGTTTTTTGATTTTACAAAGATATAAAATTAAAGAAATTAACAACTTGTCAAAAGCCATATATACACTAAGAGCTGACAAAAACCTGCATTATTTCTATCAACGAATATTTAAAAGACTCATTAAGGGTAAAACTCAACTAATGCTAGAATTTTAAAATAAAAAAAATGTACATAAGAAAATTAAAAAGTTTGAAAATTTTCAATTTTTTTGTGTTTTGTGAGTAAAATCCCTTCCCC